GAGGAGGGAGGGAGGGAGGGCACTGCAGACAGTTATTAGGTAGTATCAAGAGGGGCTCAGGCTCTTCACTTCAGCATATGTGGTATGTACCATTAAAGCACTGGACTGTGACAATGCCCAAAGCAACAAAGGGATTTTCAGAAACAAAATCTGTATTTAAGCCAGTTCTGCAAGGGAAGTACAAGATTCTTTATCACATGTTATAACTCTCTACTGAGGGAATGATGCTGAGTGTCTCTACCTGGAAAAGGACATAAGTTTAAAATATCTACCCAAACCTCCATTTGTGGATGAAGAAAGCAAACAGAGAAACAGATTTGCTGAGGGCCATACTGAGTGGTCATGGAAAAAAACAAACAAACATACAAAACCCTCTCTACTTCCTTCATCTAGACGCTTCAAAGTCTGATGATCTCCTAAGAGGCCCTTCTGGTCTTATAATTAGTAAAAAGACACACACAGATCAACAATTTAAAAAGCTACTGGCAACTTGTTTGCCTTAAGAGTCTGATTTGTGTCTAAAACCCAAGTCCCTTATGTCACTCCACAGAGCTGCTTGTTTGATCAGGGAAAGCCTGGCTGTTTTCTTTACTGCCTTGGTCACCAATACTTACCTGAACTATAATGGTGTGTTTGTCTTTAGTCTATGCTGACCTATTTGCATGCCTAAAACACACTAGAGTAGAGAAGAAAAAAGTCTGTACATTTCTAAATCTTTCCCTCCAGCAGAATCTATCTCACCGCTAAATATTGAGATATTAGGGAGAATATGTATATAAAAACTTTTATCTCATTTAACTGTATTACAGGTCTTACAATAGGCATTTTAACAATGTTGTCTTAAACATGGTTCAATATTGTTACTTTCCTCCTAGCCCCAACGTCACTTGGAGTTTAACATGAAGATTAATTGTAATTCTTGGTCAACACCCAGATTCACAGACTGAAGGAAAGGGTTTCCCTATTATAGAGGACTCTATCCATTATAAAGTAAACAAACTAGTATTTATCAAATAATCATACTGGCTGTAATAAAATGAACTTGAATCCCAGATCTTACTAGTAGGAAATTAAGAACAGCAACTGGGTGGAGGGGGTGATAGGAGAGGGAAAGGATGGGGGGCAGGACAGGACACAGGACACACATGAACTTTACCTTTAAAGGTCCAACATCTCATCTTAGATATGCTATATACTACATGGTTGATCTTGAGTAAGCACACAAGAAATGGGTAGCTTTTCTGATATGTGGCAATAAAGTATTTAAACTAGGATGTGTGGCTCACATTTATGAGTCCCAGGACTCAGCAGGCAGGAGTATTACTGAGAGTTCTGGGCAAGTCCCAGGCTATATTAAGAGACCCATTCATTTATATTTACTGAATATTCATCATGTGTCAGATGCTGTGAATATAGCCAGGATTGAGATATATAATCTAACAGATAAGACATACATTTGTTGGCAAGGCAGTGGTGGCGCACGCCTTGAGTGGTAAGTGAATCTCTGAGTTCAAGTCCTGTCTGGTCTACAGAGTAAAAAAAAATAAATAAATAAAAATTGTCACAATAAAATGAAGAATTTGAAGGGTGGCGGCAGCACACACTTTAATCCCAGCATGGAGGCAGAGGTAGGCAGAGTTCTGAGTTGATGCTAGCCTGGTCTACAGAAAGAGTTCCAGGACAACCAGGGCTACATCAAGAAACCCTGTCACAAAAAACCAAACTAACAAAAACCCCACAGAATTTGGAGACCAACAGAGAGATCCTGATCAAACTAAACACCAGCTACACAAATGGTTTCATTTTCCTTAGTGTTAACTTATATAAATAAAATGTAGATGGTTGAGGAGGTAGTGCGAGAGCTAAAGTTACATTTAAGTTAATTACTAGGCCTAGAAGATCCATGAAACAAAAATGTCTCTGATCTGCAAGCCCCTTGCTCAAGGACAGACAGTTCCTGAAAGGCTAGAGGCCAATGTTAATGGGAGATAACAGGGCATGTTTTCTCCACTCCCTTAAGTAAGTCTGTTTGACCCATATGCACTGGATGTGCTTGATCACCTGTGGGTGGAGGTTCAAAGGCAGAAATACATCAGGATGTATATTTGCTCCTGACTGGATCTGATGGAAAATGCAATGAATTACGGGTTTCCCTTCTTAAGCCTCTGTAAACTGTGACTCGGGGCCATTTCCCAGGAACCTGGGTATGGACCTGGCCAGAGCCCACCTACCAGGCCAGTATTTAATTAAAGCTTGCTTCAAATTTGGCTTTAAACTGTGGTAGTGGTCTTATTCTCACAGTGGCAGAGCACTGGCCTAGCATGCAAAGACTATCTTATACTACACCATAACTCAAAGGTGGGGTTAGTAAAATGTTCCATGCTTCAGCAAGTGCTCAATATTGTTTTTGTGGTAGGAAGAATCCAAGATGTCCTCCCAGACTCTGCCCCCTGGCTTGCATGTCTTGTAGCTATCTTTTTGTGAACGAGGTGCTGAATAAGAAGGGCACTGGCCCCTCTATATATTCTATTACATAGCAGAGGAGATTTTGCAGTCATAATTAAGGCATCTAATGAGCTCAATCTCAGTCAATCAAAAGGGAGGTTTTCCTGAATGAGCCCTTAATTAAAAAGCCAAGCTAGTGCACGCCTTTAATCTCAACATTCTGGAGGCAGAGGCTGGTGGATCTCTGTGAGCTCCAGGCCAGTCAGAGTTACATAGTGAGACCTGGTCTCAAAAGAACAAAACAAAAACTGAATCAAAGTTTGTATACAGAGGTATAAGACCGAAAGAGAACTAGCATGGTAGTAAAGAAAAGGAGTGCTCAAGGGTGCCGCTCGCCACAGTGCTGGGACAGCGAGCACTGACTGGCACAGGGACACACGTGCACACTGGTGGGACACAGCAGAGGGCCAGAGACACTCAGCAATGTGCTCAACTGATCTTTGACAAAGGAACAAGGCAGCACAATGGAGAAAAGACAGTATTTTAAATGAACAACTAGATAATCACAAGCTGGAGGCAGGAGGGGAGTCACCACTACAACAAAATAAAAAACCTACACACAAACTTTATATCCTTCAAGAGAATTAATTCAAAACAGGCTTAAAGATAAAATACAAAGTCAAGGGGCCAGCAAGATGGCTGGGGGAGGGGGTGGAGGGAGGTGTTTGCTTGCTGCCAAACCTGAGAACCTGAGCTTGATCTTGGGGCCCACGTGGTGGGAGGAAAGAACCAACTCCTGCAAGTAGTCCTCACACATACACACCCTACAAACAAATGTAATATGTACCCCCCCCCTTAAAAAAAACCCTATAGAATTCCTGAAAATCTCCATGACCTGGGATATTTTAGATAAGATACCAAAGGCTTAAAAGAAAGAATTGGTAAGTAGGACTTCTTTAAAATAAAAATTATCTGGGTGTGGCGCATGCCCATTGTCAAAAAGCAAAAAACTTTAACCATTTGCTCTGCAAAAGGCACTGTTAGAAGAATGAGTCCACAGACTGGGAGAAAGCACTTGTGTAAGACTTATCTGATCAGGTACTGTTACCCAAAGTGCACAAAGAACTCTGAAATCAACAAGTGAATAATATAAACTGCACCAAAGAAGCTAAAAGACACCTCACCAGGAAAGATAAACTGACAATAGATGAACATAGAT